TAGATCCCAAACAGAGAGAAATGCAACTCCAGAAGCAATTCACCCCACCTACCATAGAATAGTATCTACAGTGGGCTGAGCTGCTCAAGTCTCCACTGTACCATAGACCACGGATGCGGCCAACATTATGTTAATAGGATTTGGACAGCTGTAGTCAGGCAAGGCGAAACCCATGTTATTAGTATACTTGTGTCCTGGTTTCACGACAACTTGGCACATTTCTAAAAGCCCTCTCCACCTCCAACATTGGACCAACCTCCAGTTCTGGACAGCAGTGTCCTTTCTATGGTAAAACCAGCTGATGACAGAGAGACCTGTCTTGAAAAGGGGACACAAATTCAGCAGTAGAACCCGTCTTTTCACCAGTTCTGCCACTGAATCACATCACGAGCCAGCCATTACCCATCTTCTGCCTTCTTCTCCACATCTGACCAGATCAATATTAACCTACCTTGTCGCTATTTGTACTGCTATGACTCCTGGTGAAGAAGTACGGATGACATGGATGACACAGATCTAAGTCTTCAGCAACCTTAAAAGGCACAGAAGTAAAATGAGAGAGGGAAGCAGAATGACGTGCCACTGGCCAACAGGCCCGTAGCAAAGCCAGGCCTCCAGCAACCCAGCGCCAAGGCATCTAGAATCCCAGCAATTATATGATATTTTCCAAACATTAGTGGAGGTTTAGTGCTCACAGCATGTTTTGGTATCTGGGTCTCCAGATACCTGTAGCAACTCCTACATACTATTGGGGTTCCTCACCAGGGCTGGCTTTAGGGAAGGTGGGTTACAAAGCTGCATGGTAGGGATTTACTGGTGCTCCCAGTATCACAACATGCCACAGTATGGGCTTCTTGGCATAGAAGGCAAAACAGGCTGTGGTTTTCTCACGCTGCTATGGTGGCTGTACCCAACCATGGAGACCACTGTTCAGGGAGTGATGTGTGGGGCGGACAGTGAGTAAATTGCAAATGGGGAAGATTAACCATCTTCCAGCAAGAACTAGTTCAAGTTGCAATCTGCAAAAGCAGATAATGAATCAGATTTTACTAGTGGGAATTACAATATTAAAGAGGGAAGGGGCAGAATGCACTTCTGTCCTCCACCAAAAATAAGCAAACCCTTCCGCCCTGCGAGGACCCTTCCCCGGCTCTGTGTTTGCTCTCAGCGAGGACGATCTTCCCATCCGGCAGCCATAACGAATCTTCTCCGCGTAGGGCAGAGGGGGTAGGAGAGCAAGAGAAGTGACCCACAGAGTATTTGAGAAGTGTGACGGGCTGCACTGCCCCAGTCTGCCCGCCTTCCTGTCCGTCTGGATCCCTCCAAACCTCCTCCCCTTGCCCCTGATCTCTTTACATCGACTTCTCTGGGGTGGAAGCACCCTGGCCGTGCCTTTTTTTGAACATGGGCAAGAGCAGCTGTTCCCTCTTGTGACTAACTGCACCGTGAAGCAGTCATGTTTCTAAATCCAGCTCTATTTACACACTCAAGTGGGCCCTGAAGATGCCAGCTGGGCCATCCCCATGAGTAAGCAGGATAGGACCAGCCTGCGATGCCTTCATCGGGCATTCCAAACCCATGACGATGTGGCTTGCTCCATGTCCTCCCCATCCCCATTTCCCCATGCCAGCTTGATAACTGCAGTTACCCCCCTCCTTTCGCAGCAGGCTTATGGGGGCCAAGGAATCGGCCCCATAGCTGCCAGCACGGTCAAGACTTTATTGTCCCTTCTGACAGTCAGGGTGATGGACCTTCACCTCCTGGGGAAGTCATGAACCAAAACTGGTCTTTACTTTGCTGGTGTAAGGATGGGTACGGTGGAAAATCTGTGCAAGGCAGGTTGCAGCTCCACCAGGACCGAGACTTGGTGTCTGCCCCTGAGGATTCACAACCCTGCAATGTGGACTTCCCTCAGAACTTCTCCCCGGGCACTGATGAGCGATGCCAAGAGCAAAGAAGCCAAAGCCGTGCTGCTGTCACCCCACCGAGGGCCAGATCCTGCCCATTGCAAAGCGCCTATCTGGATCCACGTCCAAATATTTGGAAGAGGGCTGGAAACTGTCGGGCCAGCACGGATGAGCTTAGCCAGGTTTTGACATCAGGCCCAAAAGCCAACTGTTGGGACAAACCACTGCAGATTTGGGCAGGCAAATGCCGGCAGTCCCGCATCCGTAAAGCCCATGGCAGCCTTTTTACTGACTCTAATGGACTGCAAAATCTGGCCCTTAAAAGGCTCCGGTTCAAAGGTAATGTTGATAATAGATAACTAATCTACAGTAGTGTTCCTAGGGATGGGAACAGCTATTATACACCCAACTACCTTTTTATCAGTGTAATTAAAAGCAGTCGGCGTCAGAGTAAGTAGCAATGCTGCCTGCTGAAGAAATCAATACTATCCTGCTTGTGTGTGTGTGTGTGTGCCTATGACAAAGTGGATTATCTCCATCCTCCCCAAATAGCAGCTGCAAAGCAAAGAGGAAAAGGGAGAGTGGCTGAATTTGTACCTTCAGGTAAAGTTGCCTGGTGTTTCCTGGTAGGAGGGGCAGAGGCTTTGGGGGATGTTTAAATCTCTCCCCAGGAACAAAAGGAGGGGAGATTAGCTCGACCCCTGGAAGGGATGTGTGTCCTGCCCTTTCCTCCCCTCCATCCCCAGTTTGCCGGGACCCCCACGCCCGGGCGGGCGCTGGTGTCTGAGGGTCTGTGTGTGTGTGTGTGTGTGTGTGTGTGTTCCAGTCTGCAGTGTGAGCAATTTCACTTGAAAAGACAGAGAAATCCCCTCCTTTGAAAGTCTCAGTGTTTGGTTCTTTCCAGTAATGCTATAATTGGATGGGATTTTCTCTAATACAGAGGGAAAGTCCTTAAGATGATTTTTCACACACCACCACCCTCCTCCTTTTCCTCATCCTACCTTATGCAATAAAACTCCCTTCTCCCTCTCCAGCCTCTTTGGCTCCTCTGGGGTGGGGGAGCTGCTGAAGGAGGTGGGGGGGGGGTTGGATTTAATACACTCGATATAATTGCAGCATCAACACCGTGGGGATTTGCTGGGAGAGCCGGAGAGAGCATCCGTTCCTCCTCTGGAAGCGAGCGAGAAGCCGCTCAGATCAACCCGAGCTTGGCTACACGGGGCGATTAGATCTCGGAGCACTTGCCAGAGCTCACATTTGCAATCACTTGTCATCCAACCCTAAAGAAAATAATCAGGGCCCGACCCCTGCCAAATTCCCAATGATTTAAATATCCCCGAATGAACTGCATTTCTAGTATAATTTCACTAGAATGAATATATCTCTCCATCTAGCTAAACACAAACATATCTTTATATATATGCATATAAAGCTCTGTGTGTGTAAATAGAAATATTCCCTACTAAGGGAAAATATATATGCAGTTCCTAATGAGAAAGAAAAAGCATTTTGATTTGAGCTAATGCTAAGTTGCAAGCCTTCCTTCAACAAAGTCATTAAAAATTGTACCTCTCTTTGTTCCGTGTGAGCCACAGAGATTTTCTGATTCACAGATAAAATTTTAAAAAGGCAAATAAATAAATAAAATCTCATCCAGTGTTCTCTCTTTCCTAAAAAAGAAAAAGGGGGGGGGGGGCAAAAAACCCAACAGGCAGCAGCCACAACAACCAAAAAAAACCCCCAAAACCCCACATAAAAGAGAATCATCGTTGTTATTCCAGGGAGAAAACATCTCCTAGCTCATCCAGTGCCTCCATCCCCTCGTTCTCTCCTCTCCAGCCCCCTTTCAAATGACCCAGGGTAAGGGGAAAGCCTGTCAGCTGGGTGACACTTGCTCACAGATACAGCAAGCTTTAAACAATATGTTCCAGAGGAGCAGCAAATCTAACCGCGTACCCAGTCTCGAGGAGCTACATCTTTATAATAATACTAATCATGATTTTTTTTTTCTTCCTCATTTCCACCCCACCGAAAACCTGCAGATTTTTGGAACCACGCGATCCACGCCAACTCACCCCCCACCACCGCCACTGAAAGGAGAGAAATTGTTACAATCTGTAGAGAGAGAAATTAAAAAAGAGATCAATTACTAGTGCCCTGTGGGGTGGATCTGGTGGATGAAGTCGTTTGCAGCAGCGCCTTCGCAAAGTCCGGGGCTGGGACTCCTGCAAATTGTGAGATGATCTGGATGAGCCTTACTGAGATTTGCATGGAAGAAGTTGATTTCTTAGCAGATGTCTTCAGTGGAGCTCTTGGGTAGCTGGCTGGTTGGACTGGTGGGGAAGGGGTGTGCGTGGCTGTGGGGGTGTGCGTGGCTGTGTGTGTGCGTGCATGTCTGGGTGTAAATCCTCTTTTTTTTTTAATGAAAAAAGGAGGAAAAAAAAAAAAAAAAAGAACCAACTGAAAGTTTCTAGAAAGTTAGTTCAAATGCGTCCCGACCGTCACTGTGAGGAAACGGGGATTTGAGAAGAAGACAGAATGACAAGAAAGAGCAAATGAAGAAAATAATAATTAAAAAAAAAAACCAACCCTTCACACTTTTTTTTCCTTTTTTTTTTTTTTTTTTTTTTGCATTTTAGTAGCTTCGACCCAGGGAGTGAAATCCGGGCAGGTTGTTATAGCTACCCAAATCCACAGGGGTCCCCCCTGTCTATTTAAACCCCCTAAATCTTCCTTCCCCTTTTTAAAACTACATTTTATCCCTTGGCTTGTGGGCCAACGTGCCCCCTAATGAGTATTAAAACACTATCTCCTTGCAATTAGCTCATTCCTGACTTCGCGCTCCTGATTGACAGAACAAGCCAAAGCATCAGAATTCTCCCTTTGGCAATAAGTGCTGATTGGGTCCTTTTTAAGAGAGCTACTTCAAACTTTTTTTTTTTTTTTTTTTTTTTTAATATTTGCCTTCAGTGTCTTGGCTGAGAGAAGAGTTTTTTACCTCTCTGAGATTTTTTTTTTCCTTGAGAGTAGTAGAGGAAGCAAGAGAGGATTTACCTGGTCGGGTTGAGTTCACTTCATTTGACTTTTTTTTTTTAAATTATTGTTATTATTATTATTAAAATAATCATCCTGCCTCAGAAGAAAGGAAGGTTTTTGGCAACTCTGGTTAAAAAAAAAAAAAAAAGAAAGACAACTTTTCATCAATGGCCTCTTTTGGATATTTCCTGTTTCTTTGTGGGTTGAGTCAGGCTCTGTCAAGTTACCCAATCTGGTGGTAAGTTTTATTCTTCTTCTTTTTTTTTTTCTCTCATTTTCATTTATTTTTCCCCTCCTCTGTTTTCTCTGCAACCCCTGCGCTTAAGATGACTTGAAATTCTCCTTTCGTTGCCACTCAGCTAAAGAGGTGGGATTGTTCCAGCGCCAGCAAGTTCTTAGAACCTGCATTTCACCTCTTTTATTTATGCATTCACTTTGTTTATTTTGACTGGGTTATACCTGATCTCTCCTTCTCCTACTGTAAAAGAGAGAGAGCGAGCGAGAGCGATCGGAAAGTTATTTTTTTTTTTTTAAGTGCTTTGATCCTCTCCTGTGAAGAACAAAAGGCGCTGCCTGAATTAAAGAGATAATGATACAAGTTGACATGAGCATTTCAAGGTGATTTCGAGCTAGTCAGGTGGAAGGAAGGGGGGAAAGGATGAAAACTTACCCCCCCCCCGCTTCGCTTTAAGGAATATTTAGGGGGAAAGAAAAAAAAAAAAAGGAGGGAAAAAAAAAAAGGAGGTGAGAGGAGGCAGAACAACCTGGTCAGGTTCTGGAAAGGCAGAGCAGGGAGCAGAGACGGGGCTGGGGGAGAAGTGCCCGGCGCTGCCGCGGAGCTGCCCCGCGCAAGATCGGCGGGGACCTGCGCACCCCCCTTCCCTCGGGATAACGCACTTTTTTCCTTTTTTTTTTTTTTTTTTTTTTTTTTGGTCCGCGCTGCAGCTCCTGGGGTTGGTTTGTTTGTTTGTTTGTTTTTTCTTTTTTTATTTTTTTTTTCCGCGCTTTGCACCCTACGCCTTTAAGAGGCTTTTCTCTCTCTCCCCCACAAAAAAAAAAAAAAAAAAAAAGCAAATGGTGCTGGGTAAGGCATGTAACTGCAAGATCTGCTCTAATTACCCCCGCGGAGGTAATTGGGCTCAGGGAAGCCCTAACGCAAGGAAGGCTCCTGCTCTGCAGGCGGGCGAGCGCGTAAGAAGCGCGGAGCAGAACCCGCGCGTCCTTACGCGGAGGCGCAGAGCAAACCCGGCGGAGCTCCGCGCTTTGCCTCCGGTTGCGCGGGTGCGGACCCCGACACCCCCCCCAACCCCCTTAAACCCCCGGGTAAAAAGCTGCCAGCTCCGCACCCGCGGAGGTAGAAGCCGGGTTGCGCGGACCGTAAATAACTCAGAAGCGTGCAAAAAAAAAAAAAAAAAAAAAAGGCAAGCGAATGGGCGAATGGTAATTAATTAAATTTTTTTTTTTTAAGTGCGTTTAATCTCTGCTTTCCCCCTCCCCAACCTGCGGAGGGGTGTTAGCGGGATTCCGCGGGTGCGGTACCTCCCGCCCGCGGCCGCGTTGCAGAGGTGAGGGTGTTGAAGGCAGCCTCTCCAACTATTTCAGGTATGTCTGAAAGCAGGGAATTCGCTGGGATGGGAGAAAAAAAGCAATAAAATGCAAATGGGTTCTTGGGAAGACAGGCAGAAAGAGCACCTGGACGGGAGTCATTAAAAAGCAATCTTTTATTCCCAGCCACCATCTAACTTATAATTAGAAACTCGGCTCGCATTCCTGATTGGAGAAGGAAACGCATTCCTCTAATACCAACAGAAATATTCCCTTGTCACCCACCGAGGGGAGAGGAGGGCAGGCCGGGTGTCCCCCCCCCGGTCCCCGCAGCCCCGGAGAAGCGGCTGTCGGGGGGGGGGTGATGGTAAAAAAAAGCCAGGGAAAGAAGAACTGGAGGTCTTTTTCCAAACTGGGGCTTCAGGTGTGTGCAGGGGGAGCGTAGGGGTGACTTTTGGGGGGTTGGGGTTTTTTTTCTTGCCCCCCCCCCCCATCCTTTCCCTTAGCCGCCCAGCGGTTTGAGACGTTTCTTTCGCAAAAAAAAAAAAAAAAGAGCAAATCCCCCTCAGGGCATGGAAATGCAAAGGAGGGTTTGATTGGGGTGGGGGGCTCGGAGGAGAGGCCGGGTGCTGTGACATTGGCTGCCGAAATTCCCCCTCACCTCCTCTCCACCCTTTCCCTCTTTATTTATCTTCGAGCGATTTATAAACCCCATGGCCGGAGTTGGGGGACAGCCCTGGAGAAGGCGACTGGGGGGCTGGAGGGGTCCCTCGGTGCACATCCCAGTATGGGCAGGGCAGTTTCTTTTCTCCCAGTCTGCTTCCAAACCAGCTGATTTAGCAAATGGATCATGCTGCTTTATTCTAATTTCATTTTCTTCTTTTCTTTCTTTTTGGGCAGTTTTGGTCCATTTTGATTTTTGAAGGGACTACAGAGAGGGCCAGGAATTTTTTAGTCTGGTAGTTCAAGTAACAAACATCTTATCTCAACCATCTCTCTTTAAAGCCTCCCCTATATTACCTCATAGCGACTTGATGGCTTGCAGCAGCAAATCTGTAATTTACCATCCCCAAATTGTGCCCCCTACAAATAATAGTTTCTAATTAAAGCGTAAGCTCATCCTAAAGCACACAGAGCTATGGATACTTACCCTGCTTTCAGCTTCAAGGCAATTTGAGCAAAAGCAGGGACTGAGAAAAGATATTCTCCTGTAGGTTTCGGTTAATTATCCTCCCAAAGGAAAGAAATTAGGGGAAACATCAAGTGTGTATTTGTCAGGGGGAGCAAGTGGCATGTGTCTCTTACTGTAATTTTGGTCTAATTCTAAAGAAACCTCCTTACTTGGCTGAGCTGTTTAAATTGCTGTTCCCACCATGGTATAGGGGCACCTGTTTAAGATCAGGCCACGCAGTGCTGGGTGGGCTCCGCGCAGACCAAGATGTGCGGTACCTTCGGAAAAAGTTCAGTGGAGCAAAAGGGAAAAGATCCCCCGGAGCAGCGATGCTCCCGCGCTCCGTCCACGTCCTTTCGGCAACGATGGGGGGGGGAAGCTATGGGGGCTTCTTGAAAACAGAAAACTGCCAAATAACATATTTACAGAGAGGGATGAAATAGGCTTTAAAAATAATGGTTTAAAAATAATAGAAGAGGGCACCGGTTCCCATTGGGACTGATGCGGCAAGTTTTTAGGGATGCGCTTGGCGTGATTTATTGTGGTACAGTAACCCTGTGGGACCTTCTCCAACGCAGCGCAGCATTGCGCCGCTCAACCTCAAGGAGCTACTGGTAGCAGCAACAGGCTCTTCCACACCCAGGGGGCCAGATTAAGAGCAAAAATGTGGGCTTTTTTTTTTTCAAATGTTGGTGCTGTTCATTTTTTGGTTTGTTTTTAAAAAAATAAAGAAGAGACAGGAGTGAGTGAAGGAAGAGTTAGGAAATTCAGAAGCAGAATTCATGGGTGGGGGAGGTTTAAATGTAACCTGTGCCCTGTCCTGTGGGGCCTGGGGTCCATGTGGAGTCACAGTAGCAGCACGACCAAAATTAAAACTTTTTCCAGCTAACTTGCACTACCTTGGCTGACTGCAGGTGGAACGGGAAAAGCATTTTATTTTATTTTTTGATTAGTGGCATGAGGCCTGACTTGGTCAGAGGACAGCCAGAGTGCAGAAATGATTCAGAAGGGAGAAAGGTTTGGTTCAGCAAGAAAAAAAAACAGCAATAAAAATTAACACAGAGCTTCAGTGCTTGGGGATCTTAACCTCCTGTAGCCCAGGAAGGTGGTATAGGGAGATGGTCACGGGAGGGGATCGCTGGGCTGCATTAGAAGTACAGGCAGACCTCGTCACCGTGGGAGAAACCTGCCGGCTGGCATCTCAAACGTCGTTCTTCCCGGGGAGCGAGGCAGCTTGGTGCATGTTGAGGGATGCAGATAGTTGAAGCACGTGCCTGGAGAGGGGCTGGAGGAGGAGGACGTCTCTTGGGAGGAGATAGGCACCGGCTGGGACCTCACGTGGTGGCATCCCTTTGGGCAGCGGTGTGTGTCCCTTCCTCTGTCCCGTGGGTCGTGGGGGAGCTTCTGTCTCCTCTGCTGCTCTCTGTCACACCTGTAGCACATCCTAAGTGGGGTGGGATGAGATCGGCCCCATAACGAACTGGGCAAGGGGATAAGCCATAACCAGTAGTGGCAGAGTGAATGCAGTGTTACCGGAGATGCCAGGCTGGTGTTTGGAAAGTGGACGTGAAGGATGTGTGTTAGGAATATTTTCCCGGCTGTGACCTGTGGTTGCTCTTGGCTTCTTATTGCTTATTCCCCAAGACTGGTCACAGAAGCTCTATTGGTTGAAGCATCCACGTAGGATGAAGGTGGCCAAAGCCCATGATATCCTACAGTAGCCACTTCACAGCCCATGAGGGCTGGAGAAAGCGACCTAAAAGATGTTTCCATCTCTATTTTTTGCGATTCAGGAAATGTAAGTGCGTGGGAGCAGGGCGGGAGGGAGCCTTGCCAACAGAAAGACAAGCAACCCGGTGGCATTACTCCCGCAGCACGCAGGTGCAACACTTGAACGTGTCCCTGTCAGAGTTTGATGGCATCACCGCAATAAGAGCAGTGCACGGATAAATTCCTGGCTTGTGCTCTGGTTCAGGTCTCTCCTGGGATCTGTCCCCCTCGGGGCTGGTGGAACAGCCCCTGATTTACACCAGGGTGGGTGAAAGCCAGGCCAGGTTCTGGATCCCATGAGAAACCCGCTTCTCCTTTTGTTACAAATCCTGGAGAACCAAGCTGAGTCTTGGCAGGCGCCGCAGTTGAGAAAGCAAACCTTAGGTTTGGCAGAGAGCAACCGTGTTAAGTGAGAGATGATCATCCCTCGTTAGCCAGGAGGGAGGCAGAGCCGTGGAAGGTCACCCAAGGGACAGCGTGAGCCATGCGCCTTGGCACCAGAGCTCCTAAAACAATCTCTAGAGCTCGGAAATATGAATTGCATCTACCCACTTCTCCTCTGCTCGAGTAGCTGGAGTGGAGGATTTTGACATTTCCGAGGCGATGGCATTCATCCTCATTGCCTCCGCTGCTGCGGTGGGTTGCGATGTTCAAGAGCTGTTGTGCTCCTCTGCAGAGGTGGCTGCATTTCAGCCATCCCCAGTGCAATCCCCGTACATGCAGCCCTCTCCCACCCTTGCCCCAAGGCTTGG